CTAGTTAAGAGAAGGGAAAACGGACATTTTAGTATATCCATATTCAGGAAGAAAACCCACTCAAATAAATATTTAGACTTCAAGTCATCACACCCCATCAGCGCAAAGATTTCAGTTGTTTCAAGTCTTCTTAGACGAGCACACTCTCTGATAACCGACGAGAAAGAAAAAGAAGAAAAAATATCAAACATTACTGAAACTCTCAAGCAAAACAACTACCCATGGAACTTCATCAACAAAATCAACACAGACATTAAGTATGGCCGAAAACGCATTCCGAAAACATGGACATCAACAGTCGTCATTCCATATAGAGAAGAGACATCAGACGATATCAGAAGAGTACTCAATCAGCTCGATATTAGAGTTTTCTTCAAAACATCAGACACACTTCAAAGCAACCTTGTCCATATAAAAGACCAAATCCCTAAAGATTCACTATCTAATTGTGTCTATAAAATAAAATGCTTGGAATGTGATGCGATTTACATCGGACAAACATCTCGAGAAATCAAAATCAGAAGAAATGAACACCGTAGAGCATCTCTTCGACCACCGAGAAATCCTGTTGAACTACAAAGACTTGAAAAATCATCAGCCATAGGTCTACATGCTATAGAATCAGGCCACAAAATTGATTTTGACAATGTTGAAATAATCCAGGAAAACTTCAGAAATCACAAAGAACGTCTAATATCAGAAGCACTTCATATCAAGTGGAATCAAAATTGCCTGAATAGGAATGATGGACTAAAACAGAATCTGACCTGGTTACAACACCTCCCTCCCCCCCATCAAGTGACAAAACCAACACGAATGTGATAAGCACCTTCATTATGTAAACACACGCTGCTTTTATAATCTTATACACTTATCAAATCCAACAATCTACACATGATGGTTTTGTTATCTTTACCAATTCACCAACTTGACAACTAAAAATGCCCCAGACAGACGAACGATGATCAAGTTAGTAAACTTTATTTCGATATCATAACAGACATACTATTACCTTTGTTATTTGGTTTAGTTATCTTCATCGCTGTTTTTACTTTCAATATGTCCCTTTAACTTGACCTATGTTGATTTTCTCACCCCCTAACTGTTTGTTATATATATGCTGAGATTTTGTAAATTCCGGTTTAATAATACTTTGATAAAGCTATTAGCATTAAATAGCGAAACGTCAGTAAAAACAATATCGTTTTGTTTTTCATTCATTGGGAAATACAAAAAGTTAATCGGATGACGTAACATAGTTGACTAGAAATTGGACGTGAGTCAAGTTAGCAACATTGTTAATGAGGGTAGAGATTAGAAAAGGGTGGGGTAGAGAATAATGTAAATGAAGATGTGAAATAATAAAATGCAAAAGACAAAATAATACAATTAGTAAGACTGAAATTGGTGTCATGTTTTGTTCTAACCACCGTAACCTTTTGCGAACCAAATCATAAATTAAATAACATTGCCACCCCAAAAGTCGGTAGGAAAATAATGTGTGTAAGATATGCACCAGACACCTCAGTTGATGAGAGACCACAACTAATGAAACTGACTAGCCTTACCCATCTGGCACTCTATGAATACATCCAGCACTATTGTGATTGGGTCTCACACGAGAAATAGGGTAAGAACACCTATGGTCTGAAAACTATGGTTGTACATCTCCTGGATGGAATGTCTTGCTACTTCAGAAAATAGCGTGAACTGCTACTAATAACACCTACTATTTCAAACCTCATAAGTACTAGGAAATATCAAATATGCATTCTGTGTGCGTACTGCAGTCACATTAGCAACTATTTTAGGGAAGCTAATACAACTCTCCAGATAAGTGAGGTGACAAACGCTTTTGACCACTTAACCAACCAATTCTTCAACTAGAGGTTTATATAAGACGCTTGTGTATCACCAGCCTAGACTCAGTGAACCAAGACGGTTGATAAATAAACGCATACTTCCGCCCATAGTGTTTGGAAGACTACGTTCTCCCAGTGTCTTCATCTAATAGGCTTTAACTGTTTATGTACTCTAGACTAACAAATCTCTTTTCACGTATCCAGTCATCTGAGTGGTTGAAGATAGGCAGTCGTCTCTATCATTATGGATGGTAACGGTAAACATTCTTAGTAGGTGCGGTTGGTTATCTTCTCTTCCCAGGAGAAAAAGAAAATCTCTGTAGACTTTATGCTCGCATGACCAAACACAGAAATTCAACCGTACCCTATTTGGTACACACACACACACACTTAGCAATCAGTAAATAAACATATTTATTTCCACAAACCACTCAGCTATTATTATGCACATTCGAACTATTATTAACAATGTTTCATACCTATGGTTAATTCTACCGAAGTTTAATGTATATAGCGTATGTTTGAGGCTATATTGAAACATCGAGAATCCCACACTGCATAACTAATGAAATTTTAAATAACGTGATTTTCGCAATTATATTATGGCTTTCAATAAGTTCAACCATGTCCTGTCATTTAGAAAAGATAACAGCATGGGCAAAGTCTTTACAACAATATGTTAGTACATATTCGTCCAGGACTAAAGCTTGTTGTCCCCTAGTATTGGGGTAACTTCCACTGTGTTGAGAGTCGGGAAATAACAACCGCTCACACATTTCTAAAAGCACACAAAGCCCTCCTGATCATTATCCTCCTCCATCCCTGTCACTCTCATCATCTTGCTTCCATACTATTGTCAGGCTAGTGAGTCATCTTAACTTCACTCTGTGAACACAAACAAGGATGAGAGCCTGAAAAATACCCCAGATAACGCCTTAAAGCCATGCCGCCAACTTCATATTGCAGCATTTAACGTCACGACCCCCTACCACATCGAATAACAGTGACCAATAGCAAGAACTGTGGCATCTCGAGCTATGGATGTATGTTGTGTTTCAGCGACACGCATACAAGACCTAAATGTGGTTATTCATTTAACCCCACCTGGCCAACAAGATGAATCTGCAAATCCACTTTGAGAGTGTCAGGAGATTCCTAAGCTAGTTCGCGGACTCGCAGGTGTAGGGATAGCATTGACTGTCAGGGCAGAAACTGTCTACTTTGTTGGGAAAACCAAAACGCTCACGTATAGTTGTTTTCACAGGCGACTTCAATGTCCAAATAGAGAAGTTATACCAGACCGAGAAGTGTATTGGTGGTACATACGGAGTTCTTGCCGACGAACCGACAACGGTGGTCGTCTTCTACAGTTCTGTTAAGATAATCATCTGTTCCTAGTCAGCACTAACTTTAGGCACAAAGAGAGACATTGCCTAACCTTTCAACCTCCATCACCAAATCAACGTTGGACTCAAATAGACAACATAGCGATTGGGTATCGTTAGCGAGGGTCCGTAAAAGACAGCCGCTCCTTGTGGGACACGTGTCCGATCTCGCACTGGTTCGTGCACGTTTATGCTTATGATTAAACGGACATAAAAAACTGTTAGCAGCGAAGCATTTACGCACCCAACTACATGAAGACAGTCAGCTCCCATGTAAGGAAGATATAGCGAAACGAGCATCTGCGATCGACAGCGAGCCTGACTGGTTTCAACGTAGAACTTTGCACAGATGTACAGCAGTTCGAGTTGCCACACTCCATGTAGCACACAAAGCAAGTGAAGACAGATAATAAACAGAAATATGAGACAAAAGAATAGTAATATAGAGAAACAATGGCACTTTATTCGATATTATAAATCACAAGGTGGATGCATCTGCGCCATTGAGAACGATTTTGAGCCATAACACCAATTATCTCCAGCCATTGGTTCTTACCAACCCAAAGACCCCACCAAAAAGGCTACACCTCCCTACGTAGCTCAAGCTAACTGTTGTGGATTTCATTGACTGATGGAGCCATGTTTTGGTTTGACCACCACTAGCTCTTTTCTAAATTGATCATATGTCAGCTAACATTTTCCGTCGAGGAAGGCGATGCCTAGGCGTACGTGACAAGCCCTAACCATCTCAATCGACGTAACTTCGCAACCTCGTCGATGGATTTCCCCTCCATACCTACCATTCGACCAATGCCTAACCTCAATATTGTTCACCTTATTATACCACTTCACGCGGGAGATAGATCTCAGACACCTATGGTCAAAGACGGCTAGCCTTTTCACGTCTGCCACTTTCAATGGTCATGTCTCATAGCCATAAAGGAGGAAAGAGCGAACTGTTTTGCAGTACACACGCCCTTTGGTCGACTGCCAGTGGGATATCACGTCTATGCCAGAGACAGCGTAAACTGGCATATGCGAAACGAGCCTTCTGTATCGTGCTGAGATCTCATCAGCGGTCAACCCGTTGGCACTGGCTGATGCACCTTCCCAAATAAGTGAATTGGTTAACACGCTCAACCAACCACTTCACTGCTAATTTCTAAGCTAGGAGTCAGTGTAGTTCAGTCCTGTAGCATCATCTACAGTTGACAAAGGGAGCGAATCGCATATCAAACATTCGAAGATTGCTGCCTGTCAAGGTGTCAGCGTCTTCACCTAGAAGGACTATATCATCTGCATATTCTAAGTCAACAAGATTATGCCCTGGTAACCAGTCAGTCCTTGAGTCGCTGAAGTCAGTTAGGGTCAAGTCTATCAGTACATCTATGATGAAATTAAACAGAAATGGGGACAGTGGACATCGCTAGTTGTCACCATTGCAGATAACAACTCTCCGTAAGCTCTTACTTGGCAGCAAAACTTGTCTCTTGAGGAAGCCTCGTACAACATACAGTTAACTGTAGACACAGCTGTAAAGGCTGTTAATAATATAAAACTCGAAGTAAGAGCCATTGCGGCATAGTGATATGCAGTACGAGTTCGTACACCAAATTATATTACTAGAACGCTGGGAATTCTAAGCCTACACAGTATTCTAAAGAATTACAATGCTTTAAGTATTTCTTTAAAATTTAAGTAAAATGCAAATGGATAGCGTACTTATTATGAAAAAATCTTCAGAAACACAAAGTACGGTTGAAATCTTTTATTACAAAATGACAGCAATTAAAAACAAGATACAAGAAATGCAGACAGTTTTCTCTGTTCAAACAGAATAACATATATCAATCTTCATCATCAGTTAATATTTCATATTTACATAAATGTTGGCTCTCTTGTCGAGATACATAGGATTGTCTTTTATGTATAGAAGGATGCTCCGAGGTCCATGGAGTACTTTTCATGACGTTATAGTCTGAAAATTGAGAATATAATCCATAACTATTATCTTTCTCTGACACGAAACCAGCATCATGGTAGCAAGGGGAGGATGCAGCCCATGGTGAACCTGGCATATAATATCGGCGTGTGTGCGGAGTATCAGAAACCTGGTTTTGTACAGATGGTATCTTGGAAAAACTTTCAGGCTTTTTAGAACGGTTTAAATGACGTTGCAGTATAGTGGATATAATATTTACACAAAAAATTATGCAAACGCGTATAAGTAAATCCGGATATTTGTTTAATGCTTCAAAGATGCCGGACAAAGCAAACCTGTTCTCAATGAATTTTAGAAAGGTTAGATCTGAGAAGTTGACAACAGGCAAGCGCATACTATATACAAATAAAAGGCTTCCAGTCAAACGAAAGAACATTGTGGTTATGATTTTCGTACGAGGGTAATTTTGTATCAGTTTGTCTGGTACTTGTAGCCAGTATAATATAACAAAGGAACAAATTGATACGACTGACACATAGCCAAGGACAAATTCCCAGTTTGACATCATCACATTGAAGACCACAGAACGGAGATATTCGATAAACACAAATGTCAAGCCAAGAGTACCACTAAGGAGGAAAACCACACCTTGCAACATAGCTCCTACTCGTCTCATTGGCATCATTTTTATCAAAATCATTATAATAAGGAGTAAACTGGAGCAAACAACAATACTGACACCGGATAGATAATAAAACACTATAGAGTTCGCTAGAGAATTCGAGCAAATAACTATCAGAAGACCTGTCAACGACTGGATTAGACGCTTTCTGTCAAACTCAAGAGTAGAAGAGATTTTCAACCGACCTGAGTGCTTGTAGGTTGGCTGTAAATCAAATATCATAAAACACATATTTGGAGTGGGAGACAATGTGAAAAAAACTCTTGAATTGTTTGATTGTATTATCTCGTTGTTTTCACTGTCATCTGCTTCAAAACCGGTTAGATTGAAGTCAACCAGGCTGGTTGAATCATGTAGGCCACTCATTTGCTTTACTGATTCTGTATCAGACTGTCCCAACCATCTAGTATGGACTTTGAAAGATGGCTCTGAAAATCCTAGGCTATCTATGACATCATAGCCAACATTAACTAAGTAATCTCCAAAAACCATATAGGGCCAGTCTCGAACAGCTGATAATACTGGGCATATTACGAAAGACTCCTTTTGAACGACCGGAATTTCAAGACTTTCTTGTAGCTGATAGACTGTGTGTAGTGTCTCAGTTGAACACACAAGCCCAAGTAGTAAATAAAAAATGCACGAAGTGATTACAAACATACGTTTCGAGGTCGAACTCATACATGTAGCTCCTTATTCCATAAGTGCGCGTCCAATATCCAATATCCAATATCGTTTTTACGAGCTAGTATAAACCAATTTGATTTCTTTGTGCTCGCCTCTTGATTGTGAGGTAGAGGTTCCTGATCTTCGGTAAACGTCTGCGTAGCTCGTCCCTCCACTCGACTGCCGTAGCTTTGGTTGACTCCAAAAGGAGTAGTGCAGGGATTAATTATATGTGGTTTGTAGTATGAAGTGTGTTAAGACTGTTACTACTGTGAATGGAGTTGATCCTTTCACCAGTTGGTCCTTCGGTATCGTCGTCAATAGAAAAGAGATAATAATAATAGATATAATTGGTAAAGGTATTCAGACTAACAGACAGAAAAAGAATAAGAAAACGTAACAACAGTCAGTCAACCGATATATATATATATATACCAGTAATAATAATAATAGGTGTAGTTAAAGCTGTCAGGAGAGTAAGACTGAAGAGAATGTGAAGAAGTAAAACGACCAGTTTAATTGTCTACCTTTGAATGGTGTATGCAATTTTAAGGGGATAGGCCATTTGGATGAAGTCCTTGTGTCGCTGCGTGGTTGTCCAGCCTTCGCTTAAATGCGTCCACAGATGGTGCCATAGCTACATCTGCCGGTAAGGAATTCCAGGGACGGCAAACCCGCAGGGAAAAGAAGTGGGAGCGCACCCGGGTCCTTGCCCTCTGATGAGCTATCCTTCTAGGATTTCCACGAGGGAGCCTATACCTACTCAATGGCAGAACACCTTTGTTTGGGTGATTCTGATCATTTGTTATTTTGTAGGCAGTAATTAAATCCCCCCTAAGACGACGGTAACTAAGTGTGAATAGGCCTAATTTCTTCAGCCTTTCATCATATGGTTTATTTCGGAGACCAACCACTCCTTTTGTTGCCCGTCGTTGGACTCTTTCCAAGAGGTTGGCGTCTCTTCTAAGCATTGGGGGTGCAATAATATTATACACTTCAAGGTGTGGTCTGATGTATGTTTTGTACAACCTTAGAAAGAGCTCAGGAGTGAGTGCACCTAACTGTCTATGTGTAAAGTGTATGACCGCATATGCCCTCGCTACATCCCCCGTGTAATTTACGCTTGTGTCCAATTTTTCCGCTAGAACTAGACCTAAGTCGCATTCCGACGTTGTGCAGGACAAGCTTTCATTGCACAGGGTGTAACTTGCATTCTGCAGTCTACAGGTGTGTAACTTCACTACTTTGCACTTTTTCAAGTTGAAAGTCATGCCACTGGCCACTGCCCAGTATTCCAGAAGGTTTAGATCTTCCTGTAGCCTATCTGAGTCCTCCGGGCACTTTATCGCCCTCCATATCTTCACGTCGTCAGCGTATAGAAGAGTCGGGCAGCTTAGACGGCATGGTAGACCATTGATAAAAATCAAGAACATCAGTGGTCCCAGGATAGAACCCTGCGACACTCCTGATGACGAGCTGTGCCAAGATGATCGGACTCGATTGACCTTGGTGCAAAATTGCCTTTCAGTTAGGTAGTCCTTCAACCATGACAGAAGTGGTTTACCTATACATACTTGACTTATTTTGTGTAGGAGAAGGTCATGGTGAACAGTGTCAAATGCCTTCTCAAAGTCTAGAAAGATCACATGGACTGGAACATTCATATCCCAGCATGATGTCCAGTCGCCCCAAGCTGATAATAAGTTAGTGACGCAGGATCTCCCTTTCCTGAAACCGTGTTGGGCTTCATGGAGTATTTTAGACCTATCCAGATATTCCCTGATGTGATCATCAATAATACTTTCCAGTACTTTCGATACCACTGGGAGTAGAGCTACTGGTCTATAACTAGTGGCATTTGCCTATCCCCACCCTAGAAGATCGGAGAAAGGATGCTTCTTTTCCATTCCTTTGGCAGTTTCCCCGATTCCATGGAGTGTTGGAACAAGTCGCATAAAGGCCTACAGAGAGCTTTGGCGCACTGTTTCAGAACAGATGGCCTGATGTCATCACAGCCTGGGGACTTTCCAGGTATGAGTCGCTGCAGCTTTCTCAGTACTATTGCAGGGTTTATTTGGGGAATAGCCACTAGGTCTTCTTCCTGTGAAATAGTAGTGCCACCATTTTGGTCCGTAACGGTAATACCCACATTGCTGTTCAGCTGTTTGGCGAAGGCTAAACTGAATGTTTCAGCCATCTCCAGACTAGTGAGATATTGACCGTTTTGGCCTACTAAGGTGCATGCCCCCTGGTTGGTTGGTTTCCTTTCCGACATGAATCGGTACAAATTCTTCGGGTTTGCCAGGAGTTTTTTAGCAGGGTTAGCCTGGAATGACCTCCTGTCCCTCCTGACTCTTGCATTGCACCGGTTCCTGAGTTCCAGGTATGCATCATGGTCGATCTGGCTCTTAGATACGCGCCACGTAAACCAAGCCTTCCGCTTTGCTTGCAGAATACGCTGCGTGCCTCTCTTTAATCATGATGACTTTCTTTTGGGCTGTGTTGTGACTAAAGGGACGGTATCCGAGATTACTGTATGAATAATCTTTTTTACCGCTTCCCAGTGTTCATCCACAGACAGCTCATCCCATGCTAAGGGCCAGTATGCATCGGACAAGAGCCTCCGCATTTCAGCATAGTCAGCCTTGCTGTAACACAGACATGGTCGCGTAACGTCCCACTGCAAATGCTCATGGAGAACGAGATCGAAACCTATGACTGCATGGTCACTACTTCCTAGAGGAGTCATGATCTGGACCTTTTCGACAAGAAGTTGGTCACTAGTTAGAATGTAGTCTAGTTTTGATGACTTTCCACTAGGGCCCCACCTAGTGTCGTCTACCAAATAACTTCATGAAGTAGCACCAGAAAAAATATTAGATTAAAAACAGAACATATTTAAAAACATCTCCTGATATTTCAAAAAATAAGTTGTCCTTTTGATCCTGGGAACAACAGAATAGAGTTAAAGAGGCAGTCGTTTTGCACAACTGAAGATATGAGTGATCTCGAAGTTAGGGGCGATTACCAGAAACATGACATATTGCTGTTATACTTCCTTAACTCATTTTCTAAGCTTAAATGATCATGCTCATCCTAACTTTTGCGCGCGCTTTGAAAACTGACGTTCGTATATCTTCCAAATATTTTTATTATTTTTATTTTTGATTACAGCTTGATGCCACACCGTATTTTTAGTACAAGTATGGAATTCTCAGCATGGATATCGGTAGCCCAAATTTCACAGGCCGACCATAGATATCGGGTGTGCGTCGGCAGGGGATCGAACCCCGGACCATATGCGTGGTCGGCGAGAGTCCTAACCACTGTGCCACCGGCGAAATCCTCTTTTCTAAATCGTCAACTTGAGAAACCTGACCTTTCTGACCAATAAACCTCCTCTAAACACCACTTCTATGTCGAATTCCTGGGTGGAAAGTCTAGCTGTCTCGAATCACTGCCACACATTCAGGTGCTAACACTGTAGCAGCATCTTGCTTACTCGATAAATAGAAAAGATGTGTCTGTAAAGACAAATAACCTGAAAATTCAGCGTAGTGCCGAAAAACGTTTTCATATACTTTTTCAGGTTTTTGTCCCTATTCCTTTGCACAAACACTCGTTTGGTGTATCTTTTATGGTTATTCAAACAATTTATAGCCAGTGGTAATCTGACGGTCGAATTTCGCCTAAAAATTATATTTCCGTACTACGTTTTGTCGTGACTAGGGCTTAAGCTAGGGGATTTCATAAGCAGGAGGAATCAGCTCCGTCTCGCACGTCGGTTTCAAGGACCTAATACATATTCCTTGCTGCGTCATTAGGTATTTTCTCTTGAAATCCGGTGACGAAACTGCACAAGTTGAACCAAATGGATGACCATTTTGATAATAAGCTCCCATGTACCTGTTGACTGGCTCGTTGGACTCAACTCATATCGATCTAACTACGAAGGCTGTTGGCTCTTAAATCAAACTCCCATGAGCAAATGGCTGGAATGCTCCAGCAAGAGTACTCCGTTATCGGACACATTTGGCGCGGTAGAAACTGACCTCGAACCCTTGTTCGGAAGCACACTGCGGTTACAGGGCATCGCCATGCCACAGTTGAATTACAGAGGTGCAAAAGTGAGTGTGACTATCTTTATCATCTCAGAGAAGAACGGGATTAATGTCCGTTCTATCAGAATCGGCCAACTAGTCCTGACGTCAACTCCACAGCTAGCAGCCTACACCGCATCAATAATCCCACACCGAGGCGAGTTGGTGAGATTCTCTGTCAGGTTCCTATACAGAAACATGAGAGGGCTGAGAAAGAAAACAGATGAAATCAGGAAACTGCAGTCGTAATTAAACCTCAAGGTGATAATACCAGCAGAAACTGACTGACCCTTTCCACTGCCGACAGAAACGTCATTATAAGCGATGTGGCTCTTTCTGTGCGAGACGGATTGTAAGAAGGGACTATGTTTTTCATATACACACACAAGCAACCTACATGGGTACGAGCAACGGACCCCACCTTGTTGAATTTCAGAACCCAAAATAGTTCAAATAATGGTCTCCAAACTGCGCACCTGGTACATCTCTATTTTTTCTGCATATTTGTTGAGTAATAGGTTCTTGATTGATTCCTTACCGAAGTTTCTTGTTGCTGATTCTCTGTGGGCATTTGATTTTCAATGCGAAGAGAATGCAGCTGTCGATTAATGTCTGCGGTGGCCTGTTTGAAGTGCTTCTCAAGATACGCACTGCAAGTTTCTGACCCACATAGAATTGACTTAACATTGTTGAAAACTTGAATATTGTCCCTTATGCTAAGTACAGAAAGTTTTCCGAACTGCTTTCCGAGAGATTAGAGTCTTCTTTACTTTTTCGGTTCTGTTGCTTTAAGTTGAGGCCGCGCTTACTAGACAGGTGAGGGAAGTGCCCTCCTTCGAATTTCCTTCGTTGATGGTTACTTGTTTTTGCTGTTTCTGTTGGTATTCATCGCATTTGTTTTTGCCTTGCTCACTTGAAGACTTGTCTTCGCTGCCTGACTTTCGTGTCAACTTGTTGGTTTTCGCCTGCGGGTCTTCGAGTTTGTGCGACATCAGACATATATCATCTGAGGTAACCAGATCTTCCATCGACTTCTTATCGGTTCAGCGTATTCCTGTATTCTAACTCCTCACAGTCCGGTGCATAATCCAGTCCACAACAGTCAGGAATGTCTATGGTGATTATAAGCAGCCTTGTCTTACTCTTGTACTAACTTCAAAGGCTCCGCTGAGTTTTCCGTTTTGGATCGCCATCATACAGCTGTTAAATGAGGTTGATATATAGACCTGATTTTCTACGTCAATTTTTGCGTGTCTATTTGTATGGCCTTCACCCGACTTACTGATTTATGACCTAATTTACTCTTACCCCACTTATTGCCTTTGACTGTTGACTGTTTTGACTAATCGGTGTCATGACTGTCTTTCATGGTCATTTTAGAGCATATGTACACACAAGAGCTGTCAATCATTTCCACTGTTGATGCGAGACAGTAAAAGCTCTCCACGTTAACAGCCAGACTTCTTTTCTTTTCCTCCTTCGCCGCCTTTTCGGTGGTATCGCACCGCGTTGTTGTTGTTGTCACTGTCGCTGGTAGGAGAAAAAATACCCGGCAGTCTTGCTGCCATCCTACCTGGCCTTGACTAACTTGACTTTATTCAAGGCTTCTGCATTTTTTCGATGTATCCACGAGTAGTTTTGTGCCTGCTGTTGGTGTTGTTTCCGGCCACTTTTCAGGTGGTATTGGGCAAAAACGACAGGAACCATGTAATTTAACCATAAACCAAATTTATGTAATTTAAATAATACTTATCCATACCTGTACAATTGGTGTGTCCTACACAGGTAGGAGAAAATGTATTTTATTAAATTACTATTATTAAATATCCTTACTAATCGTATGTGTAATTTGATATATTTATGATGCCTGTAAACTGGCGTCCCTCATGTACAAAAGTGAGAATATTATTATTTTAATATATATATTCCACCCTTAAACATATACCATTCGGACAGCCTATTGCTGAGATGCGACCACGTGGGCTCTGCACAGATTTATGGGGCATTTTATAAATTAACATGCTTTCCTTCGTCTTATCTTCGAATATCACTTAACAATGTCTCATCTCATTCATTTTCTAATAACGTCTTCACTTGCTCATTATATTCCATTAAACCTAACATTTTATAGCTCTTTATGAATTTGATTCGACTTATTTTATTCCTATTCCCTATAGGGTACGGTTGTGCACCAAATACACAAAAAGGTATGAAATAAAAACAACCGGCTTGTGGATAATTGTATTAAAACCGAAAGTGGACATCATGATAGTAAGACCTATGTGGGTAGCATGATACATTGCAAATGAACTTTGTCAGCCTAGGGATTATAGTCTCCCATTGTATTTCCTTTATGAATGCATCTGTTAATGATACACTACACTTACCTATATCATTACACTTTAATGATTCACCTTGGCACCTTTACTTTTCTAAAACAGCTTACTATCCCTTGTAAACGTTGTACTTACCTCAATATTGGTTGGTTATCATATGCCTACAAACACGGGTTGAAAACGAAACGAAGTCGATTTTCCTGCGCAACCTGGAGGACTGCTGTTTAATTCAATAATGATACGACCTGGGTCAGACAATGAGTGTATTAATATATATATATCAAATATTTAGCAGTTGAAACATTATTAACTTGTAGACAATCTACTATTTGACATTATATCATACTTGATCGTGCCTGTAAAAATGGCATGCATTTTCATGTAAATTTATGTTTATATGAAAATATATATTATTATTATTATGTAAGTCCCCCGTTTTCTGGAAGTCGGTAGTTGCGAGTGCAGAATGAAGGATTTGTTATAGGTCTATTTGCACCACAGAAATGATATTTATCCTATTAAATACTAACTACGGTTCAAATCATATACGTACTCGTTGTGTTGTACAGGCAATGTATTTATGGTTGTAACTCCGTAAATACTGATGGAATTAAATTGTCTGACGAAAATGTCCGATTCCATTATGAGTAAATTTTGTTTTGATAAAGTCTCGCAGTGTTATACAGTAATGTTCACTCTAGCTTCTTGGCACACATAAACTCACTAGTGGAGGGAGTAAAATTCACACTTGAAGCTGAAAATGAACAAGGAGAATTAGCTATGTTAGATTGTAAAATAAAACGAATAGAAGAAGGCAAACTACACACTAGTGTTTATAGAAAACCAACGCATTCTAATAGATATTTAGACTTTAATTCGTCTCATCCTTTAACTGTTAAGGCAGGCTTAGTTAAGTGTTTAACAAACCAAGCAGTAGCACTAAGTAGCACAAAAAAGAACTAAATGATGAAATAAAACAGATAGAAGAGGCGTTAGTGTTAAATAACTATCCCATAAAATTCATTAGGAAGATTGAAAAAGGCCAAAAGAAAAAGAAAAACAATTGTGAAACTAGTAGTGATAACATAAATAAGAAAGAATATAAGTCATCTTATGTTATACCATATAAAGAGGGGACATCTGAGACCCTACGTAGGATTCTAAATAAAGCAGGAATTAGGGTGGCATTTAAACCTACAAACTCACTCAGGGACAAGCTCTGTAGGTTAAAGGACCCAGTTGCCCCAATTAGACAAAATAATATGATTTACAAAACACCCTGCAATGACTGTGAGGTCAACTACATAGGTCAAACTAGTAAATCAGGGATAGTCAGATTATCAGAACATAAGAATTTAGCTCAGTTAATAATGGTTGATCCCGGGAAGATAAGTAATTTAGAAAAAAGCTCAGCAATTGCAATGGATGCATTAGCACACAACCACAAAATAGGGTTGGAGAGGGTTAAAATTCTAAAAAGTAATCTAGGTAGGTGAAGAGAGGGATTGATTACTGAATCCTTGTTCATCGAATCTACACCCAACACATGCAATAGGAATGATTCATCACTCATACCCGAAATATAGAAAATATTACTACCAATCAAATCAGGTGAAAGACAACGGAACTATATAAATGAATTTAGGAAGTCGTGTGATTACCTTGATATGATTATGAGCAATAAATTGTGCTCGAAACGTCATCAGTAAAGATTACTGTATTACACTGTGAGACTTTATCAAAACAAAATTTACCCATAATGGAATTACACTCTACCACAGTGCACAAGGTTTATTCTTAAATCAATGAAAATGTCTGATCTTAGTGTTAACGCCATCTACACAAACCAGAGAACGTTACAGAATTTCAGTTGCTGACATGAAAAGATCGACTGAGAATTTTCCCATCAACGATATTATTCGACAGTCTAAAGACAGTTGTTGGAGAAAAGTTTTATTAATTACACAGTCCACCACCGGTAGCTTCACGTGTAGTAGCGTCTGCATAGTCTTACAAACTCAAGAGGTTTTGCATCTGTTGATAAGAGCGGCTCACGGATGACTGTAAACATAAGGTATTACATCACCTAAGTAGTCTGCGGCATCTCCAATGTTGTTTTGCTCAGAATAAATGTGCTCGATTTGGTTTTCTTTTCACAGGTAAGCCACATGACGAGTTGATCTTTCGCGTGGAAAAATGATTCAGTGGATTTGCAGTCAGGAAGTGATAGGTGAAAAACAATCTTCATCTGTATAGGAGAATCGCTTCTCCCTGCCACCGTCAAGGATAAAGATAACAAGTTGGCTTTCTAAAAGCTACATTTATAAAATGGAACGAAGATAAAACGAAATTCAAGAATAAAACGCTGAATTCCATGCAAGAACAAAACCTAATGGCTGCATGTATCACAGAAGACAGAACATAGTTAGAATTGTTTTCAGCAAGAAAAATATACTTGAGGGAATGGATGTGATTTTCTGCAGAACACCTAATCATCCCTGCGAAATTCAGTTTGGTCTAGTACGCACTTGATCATTTGCCTACTTAACTGGTAAGTACTGATGAAAAAATTAAATTAAACTAATATTTTCGGGATCACATTAGAAAAAGCTACATATTTGAATGGAATTAAGGTTAGGATCACTCTAGATAAAAAGTTCATAAACTTATCTGTCTAAAGTGAGTGACTCAAGAACTCTGACAATGTGTGATGACCAACCAAATGGAAAGCGCGGAACGATATCACGGTGTGTGATACCGACAAGATTTATCAGTAGAATATTAAGAGACGTTCACTGGCATAAATAAATATTAAATAGAGGAGGGATAGATTCGACGTCAAAGAGATCAAATGACTCAGAGTTTCGGTAAGACATGGGAAGAACGAAAAGAGAACCATGCGAGAGCTGAAGTCGCATAACACGGAAGGTCTGTGGGAAAAAGACGATTCGAAGACAAAGTGTAAATGATTTCGCTATATAAAAATACTAAATTCCTAATATTAATTCCTTTTCCAAATCTCTTACCCTCTACTGTTATAACAGCATTGTAGAATATGTACTCGAGAAAGGAAACCTAAGCGTTGGGAGGCGAGCTACGAATCTGTTTAGTTAACTGACTTTAATCGATATATTTTAGTCCTAACTGTGTTTGGGTTCATCGGATATGTCCAATATAGACCTGAACTGTAGCGTTCAAAACCAAAACAGACTTGAAAATCCTACAAGGATGGCCAAAAAAATAAAATACTTTCTTACTGCCAAGCAATTGGTCATCACTATTTTGTTAAAATTTCGTAAAAGATCTTATCTTGATTCTTTTACTTCATTATAGTAACTTAGATACCACAAAAGCGTCAGCGCTATACTCAATATGTTAAGTTTGCAGAGCGAAATATTATGGCAGGACAGAGAAATACGCTTTGATGCTCCAACTCGTGATTTAATGCTTAAAAGAGGAGAGAAGGTCCTAAGAAGTTTAACAGGGGTAGAAGATGTGAAGGGGAAAAATGGAGACAAAGGTATACGGGTAATTTACAAATTAATTTGGCCTACAGGTGCTCTGTACATCACTAACCTGAGAGTGTTGTGGATTTGCAGTAGCTTAAGACGTAACAGTCTGTGTAAGGTGTCAATAATCTGGAGTTCCTAATTATTTTCATATTCTTAGCTATTGGATTTAACTGCGTTATAAATATTTACTTAAGGAATGTCACTTTAGTAAGTATGATAAAGTAATCCATTTATTCCACAGGAAGTTGCTGGGAAAACATCAGCAGTGGTTATACTGACAAAATTCGCCGGAACCAGATACGAGTTCATTTTTGCAGAGGCCGACGTTAACAACTCAAAAATATTGGATTACATTACTACAATATATAAGTATAGTTCGTTTCATTACCTGTTCATTTTCCAAGGTTATACGACTCAACGCGAATTTATCGAGAGTTACGCCTACGTGGAGCTTTAATGCGAGGGAATACCTTAATTTTACTACCATTAGAAAATTTGTTCGATGATATAGATGGAGTATGGAATCTTTCTTCAGATCAAGTATTAATTTCAAAAAGTAGATAAGCTATTCAGGGCAACCTTGGAAGATTATTTGTGACAAATATTCGCGTTGTTTGGGTTTCCATTATGAATGATAATTTCAACATAAGCATCCCATTCCTACATATAGTAATTAAAATGTATGCTATCTAAATATTTTTAGCAAATGATAACAGCAAGGGACTCCAAGTTTGGAGAAGCGCTTGTATTTCAAACCACAAGACAGGTTAGTTGTGAGAAAATTTATGATTATAGATGCATACATGCAACCACTTGTACATTTGATAATATTCTGAAATTTGACTATGAAGCATATAAGTTGGTAATTAAGTTTAACTGAAGCATAAGTCATTTTCATGATGTTTACAAATGCATACTTTAACAGTTTGAGAAAGTAAGATATGCGATACAGGACATTTCAAGAAAATAGAAAAGGTATCTAACTGGATGCAGCAATTTGGATTCCTTATGAAGTTATAAACTGTCAGTACTAACGGTTACCTTGGTAAAACTTATGAGACTATTGTGAAAGTGCAGCTTGGAACTGAACTTGGTCATTTAGGGAAATGCTCTCCTATTTTTGATATTTGAATTTCTACAAGTTATCCAATTTTATTACTTTTCCCCACCTATCTCTTGTCGTAAAGTGAATAATGGATATATGGTTTATAAATTTTTTATGATTTTCTGTGAGATTCGTCGATCGACATAATATTCACAAGAAGCAAACTGTGGTGAAAACTAACTACTTAGATTTAAGTTACAAGTTTGTTAAGTTTGTTCATAACATAAACCCAAATGAGCTTTAAGGATAAGCGGTTAGTAAACAGACTAAAGCTGTTAGCCTTTAGTATTTAGGTAAATGAACAATAACAGAATTCTATGGTAAGAAAGGATACAAAAATATAGAATTAAGGTAAATGCACTCAGAAACCACTTCTGAACAGCTGCATTAATTGTGTCACATCCTGTTTTGCTCAGTAGTAAACTATCACACGTTTTGGTTAATGCAAACGTGAATGTGGCTTTGTTGATGAAGAAATTCTTCCTTGCTAAAGTTTTTTTCTCCCCAAAGCTGCATCTTGATGCGCTGTTTTTGACTATGATTCTGACCAAGTTACGTAACACTGTTTCACACTTCGTTTCATTTACAACCCCCGTTATCGAGAACTGTTGGTAGAATGAATCATCGATTTATACAGCATAGTCTTTCTAGATGGTGATGCTGATAAAATACAGAGCCGTCCTGAAACACTGAGCAGTTGTTTTAGTATGTTTCATATGCGAGTCGCCCACATCAAATGAAAGGTAATTCTGCAGAACTCCTAGTGGAGGGGGTGAAAGGGTTGAGCGTATTGGCCACTTCATGTTTTAGACAGTGACATTAGCCCTATCAGACCAATTGCTGACGAAATCCCAGCAGAGATATAGAGGGCTAATGTGGCATTTACCAAATTACGTCATCTGTAAAGTAGACGTGATATCCAGCTGCCGATCACATGAGGTGTTTACTGCTTAGCAGTCTGAACTGTTCTTCTTTATGATTGTAAGATGTAGCCATCCCTAACTATAGTTGATTACTATTTCTTGTGTTAAATGGTGTAATTTGTTGAGTAGTTCTGCGGTTAGACGTAGAGAGCTAGGTCGAGGGGGGATCAATCGGTCATGTTGGGAGGTTACATTGAGTGAGAGGACTAGAACACAAGTTACGCATGCTGATCCACAGACTTTCTCAACAATTAATGTTAGGCGATTTAAGATTAGGCTTGATAAAGGCACATATAATTATAACCAAAAATGGCATCAGTTCATGAAGTCTGTGACTATTGGTTTCAGATACTTAGGGGTGTGTTGGCTGTCCGTTTTGCGTCCTAGATACTAAGAATTAATAGTTCGAGACTGTTAGTGATATGGTTCAAAATCGTTTTCGGTTGCGGAGATGCACTCAGTCATTGTGACCTCTTAGATCCATTAGATTCTCATCACTCTCGAATTAATTATTTTTCCTCCCATATATTACCATTTATTATAGTTTCTCTGCATTTGTATTTTTTACGTTTATATGTGACATATAAATTTTGTTAGATTGAAACGGATGCTAATACTTATCTTTATCTAAGTGATCTTCTGACACAGGTGTCAATTTAACTAGTTCATACACAAATCTCCTTCATATATTTGAACAGAGAAAGAACAAACATTGGTGAAGATTAACACAGATTGCTTATATTCCATCAGTTCTCCTCAGCTGCCTGCAACCCGAGACATTTAATAAAACAAGTTATGATACAATTTTAGCGTACTTTTATTTACCACTAAGTATTAGTCTTCCAGTTTGGATTGTTGTAAGGAAGTCATAGTGAAATAAAATATAAAGATAAGTTATCTTGAAGTATTACAACACATATTTTAAAACGCAAGATTTCTCATAAATAAATAAATATTTCGTAAGGAGTGGCAGAATCATATATATATATAGTTATTTTCTTATTTATTCTAACTTTATCTCAACTGACTGAATCAAATATTATGATTTGTTCATATATGTGACATATATTGTACACAATAATTATGCAAAGGCTTATCTGAGTTATTTTGTACACTACACGTATTTGACTTTTCAGGTTGGGTCGTATCTTCTTGGATTTCGTATAGATCCACGTGATCGTCTTGTTAAAGTATTAAAACAACTGGGGAGTTTGCATAACCTTTACATAAAGAACCCTGTTCTTGGAATCGAAATGATGTCGAAAAAAGAAGAAGTAAGGGTGAATTCATATGAATACAAGATATATTGATAATACTTATTGAGCATAAAAGAGAAATATTCGAGAAATTCGACCATAATATACCTTAACGTAACAATTTATGAACAGTGACGTAACAAATATGTGTGGACTGAATGACAGTAATCTCCAAAGGTGAAGAACAGTAGAAACGCTAAAGTTTACTTCTTTAGCAATGAAAGTATAGCAGAGGAGCAATTGAAACCCAACCTAGTTATGATCACACATTTACAAAGATTTCTCCATAAAAAAATTTACACAGGAATGCACAACTGTAAGTAGAGTGAACAGAGTATAATCACTTTCAAATCCAAAACTTGGGATTGAGAGATGTTACTTGTGTCCATATTCGTAAATTTAAACCAGTAATCTCCACACTACACATTGAACCTAAATTCAAAATAGATATCAGAGCTTGAAAAAAAATTAAATTATTCTTTTCTTACTTTGTTCTACAAGTCTTTTTAATGTTTTGAAAACTAAGATTTATAAAACTCAACTGAAACGTCATCGTATATATATATATATAGCATGAAACAATGAATTTTTGAATGGCGTCAAGAAGCTTGCGTGTTTTGACACCTGCAGCTGAGTACGAAGAGTAGTTCGACATAAGAGGGTAGAATCTTAGGAATTACATTATCACTGAATATTTCCAATTCTCTAATAACAAATGTACGAGTGAAATTGAGAAAAATATTGAAGTGAACTAGGTGGACGACTGCTGAAACAAAAACTGAAATATGTAATGTTACAAATTTTTCAGTTTACTGGATTTTAATAAACCTATGGGCAGAATTATGACTGATTATACGAAATATAATGGAAGATTTTCAAACTCTCAATCCCGTCACCTTAACCACAGGTATTTTTCTAAGTAATGGACTTCTCACATTCGCTACTCATAGTTCTGAACAAATCCTTTCTAGACAGTCAATCACAATGGCTTCATCTTTTTGGATAACAAACTTGCAACCTGAAACTAAGTCATAGAGAATATCTTGAAAGTGTCAATTATAATACCTTCTAGGCTAATGAACTCAAAACTTAGTTTCTGATAACGGGCGTGATTTTTAAGGATATAAATACCAGACGCATGTTCGCCTTGTGACTACATCTCATTAAGGAAATATGACAACCTATGATAGCAAGAAATATGCTCCTGCTATATAATACACCTGGAACTGAATGCCGATGTGGTTAGAGACATGAGGTTGCAAGTTTCTGCACACCACTAGGTGTTTAGATAGGCCAGTTGGTAAATTGACTGGCCGTTGAGAACCAAACTTCAATACTAGCTTACTACAGAAAATAGCGTACTATTTATGCTGATGTGCAATCTTTCCATCTGAGCTATCTTCGCAGTTGAAGAGTAACTACTTCGAATTCAGATATACTTAGACAAATTTCCATCTAAGATAGAATGCACTACTGTAGAGACTCAATATATCGAATTAAAAAAGCCATATATTTACTGCTATGGTCCTTTTTAATTTCTTGACCCAGCATTCATCTCTTTAGTAAAATTTCGTGGCTAAACATACTCCACTGAATTCTAGAGTAACAATATACGTTATAAAAATCAAATGAAACATTTAAACTGCTACTGAGGTTGTTACTTAGAAACAGATATTCGGCATATAACGGGTACTATAGTTTACCTGTACTCACAAATTCCTATTCTTAGTGAACACTTTATAATGGTCAACAGTTACGCTTATATTTCTTTTCTTTCACAACAATAGATTACACATGTGATCAAAGATGAAAACGAAAATGAAGATGCGGATACTGAAGATCATTACGACATCCTATCAGTGAGTGGTTTATAAAATCGTCAATTCAGTCTTTTGTAAACCCGTTTAAAGGCTCAGCTCTTTCAATATTAAACACACAATTGTTCTACACGCACTATAATTGCTGCCATAAATTCCTAATTATCAATAAGACGATGGCGAATTAACCTAATTACACTCGCTACGGCCTGAACTCAACCTATTTTGGGGTTCAGTGAACTACAGATAAAAAATATGTGGTAACTTGCGCAACGTTTCTTTCAAAACCACAATGAACTTAAGCACTGTACAGATTATTTGCGGCTGAAACGGTTTGGCACAATTACGTAGAACATTTTACTTAATAATCATACCAATTAGGAATGATACCAAATGAAGATGAAATACAAACTCAAACTGATTACAGCACCAAAAACGTCTAGCTTAGCAAACACATATAGAACGATAAATACAAATTGCTTCATTTCTTTTAGGTGACAGATAAAAACCAGTTTTGTGTATCAGTTCGTAAACATTATTGAGATGGTTGCTCATAGTAGCCAACTGTTCTGACAAATGAAGTTTACGTGGATTTGAGAATAATATCTAGTTGTGTTACGTTCTCAAGTACATAACTCTAGTAGGAGAATGACAACTGAGATCCAAACATCGACGCCCCAAGGTAACAGCCATCTTCGTTCAAAAATTTCGCTTAGCTGTATTTCATGACTGACACACTCAGCAATTATCAGAAAGATCTACACATGATCATAACAACAACATAATACGATACAATAGAGATTAAATGTTCCAGATATTTGTCTATTTCTTTTTTATATTTCATAAAGACCTATCTAGCTGATGTCAGTAAATTAAAAGGTCGGAAGCCAGTATACAATGAAGACCTTGGTCTCGCTGTCGAAAGCTTACCAGAACACTACACAATTTCTGATCTATGGAAAATAACGTCAAAAGGGAAAAGTGGAAAGGAAAATGAAACCCATAAGAATTCATGACATTACTGCAATGAGTTTATTTTACTCAAAAATGATCTTTTTGTAAAACAGAAACGAAAAATATGTACAGAATATAAATATTATTTCTAGCCACCATGTAATGAAGAGATGAATAGAATTTTGTCTTTTTCTTTCAAAACATATTCATTTTCGCCTAACAAACTATAGTCCATATCATTGATTAGAATTAGAATTCCAGGCCGAATGTTCTTCCCTTGCAAGAAAAGTTCAGGTCGCTCTTGTAAAAGATTTTTTTCTAACCACAGAAGCAAATCACCCAGTCGTACCACTGTTGACGGCAAATCAACTTGATGCTCTTTCTGTTTATTGAAGAGGAGTTCTGCCCCACCGGAAAACTCGATATCAAGTCTCATTGGTTTTTCTAAAACTAAGCGAAAACACAGAAAACAGTATAGTGTGAAGTGATTTATATAAAGAAATGTGAGAAACGTATTAATACTATTCAGTTCCCGATGAATAAACTGTTTCTGTTGTTTCGATGAATAAACCATGAGTAAGTAAGCCTCGACAGCTACAGCATTCTAGGCATGACATCTGATTTCGACGCATCAGTTCACATTAAAGACAATGGATCACAGTATTTATACGGGAAACAGAAAAACTAACTCGGACAATGGGTGTGAATTACTCAAGGAAGCGTTCAGCTAGGTGTTTAGTGCTGGGATAGCTTAAGTAACAATTTAAACAGAAGAACGAACTTAGAGTGTTTGAAAGAAAAGTGGGAAGATATAATAAATGGAAATGTGAATAAGAAACTAAGGAACAAAAGGTAAGAATAGTGCCCAGACCAAGGGAGACAATGTACTTGTGCCAATGCAATAGATTTCAAGCAATATTATGCGACTACCTATCGTCGTGGCTTATCACCAGTAGCTGTGCACTTGGGAAACTACGTAAATAATTATGCAGCAAACAAAAATTACCACCACAAAAAGGAAACAATAAAAACCCGTGTTGCCCTTGACTTCACTGTACAATTTACAAATTTGTGCAGTGCCAATATGAATCTCCCACTCAATACAGCAGCCAGCTGAAACTACGTTTTCGTAATTAGTCCATACACGATGACTAGTAATTCCATAATACCGCAACACCTATTGACAACATTCGCGTATTTCCAAGACTCAATAGTCTCCTTTACATAGTGGTTTTCATAAAGGTTCGAATGAGCTAAAACAGATTCTTACTACTTACAGATACAGCTACTGCTCTCGTCAAACTCGCACTTTCTAACCACCAAGCCTCGAGGTCATCATTTACGTGACAGTTGACTATGAGTAAAAGCCTTACACCTGTTATCGTACTAGCTGTAATGACGGGTGAGCAATTTGCTTACGTCAACCTTATAAGAATAACTTTTATGATGACCACTAAATAACACGATAAAACTGCAACAAAATTATTCGTATATCCCAACACTACAGGTTGTTCATTGAAGCCTATTTAAGTTCATGACTGAGAAACAGTGGGAAGTCAGCAGAGAGTTAAACGGTGATGACAGTGCTGGAAGCTGGTTAGAGCTGGGTTGTATCTCGCACACAGTTACGGAACTTGGACTTCATTACCTAACCTACGATCATTCGGTGTTTGTCGTGGGTGAAATGTGGTGATAACACGAGTGCGCACTTGACGCAGAACTGTGTACAAAGTTGAAACAGTTCAATTTGCCACATTTCATATAACACTAAGGTTGAGAGAAAGTATATCAGACCATAAGCAGCAACCAAGTTGAAGAATGCATATGCAGAACGAGTAATTCTGAACGGATGATACAGGTGCTGAATGCATCACTATGATCCACTTTCCCCGACGAACTGTTTCCCTACTTTCCCATATAAATTCCTAAATGCCCTACTTTTTCCTACTTCATGAAAAAAATGTATCCCATTTTTTTACTCCACTTTAGCCATTTTCATGAAAATATTCTGACCAGTAACTAATTATCCAAGCTTACAAGAATGCTGAACTAGTTGTAAACCATGCGTAGATACTGCTGCTTTGAGGATATTGTGAAAATAAAGCTAGGTAGTGTTGAATTAGTGTTCAATGCGTTAACAAAAATACTATTGAATGCTGAACTAGTGAGACTTATGCTAAAACTATCGGAGTACTAGTTGTGAGACTTCAGCATCTTCTCAGCATTAACTCACCACAAAAATAAGCTCCAGTTGGAATCGCGTTAAAATTACTTCAACATTATCGTACGTTTGCATGGTTACGTGCATTTTAGCCTTTAGTGTGTTAGAACCGAAAGATAGGGATTTCAGTAAGGCATAAAGATGAACAAAGAGAGCCAGTCACAACAAGAAGCTAGCATCAAAATGTCAAAGAGAGGACAAAAAATCAAATGAGAACAACGCTTTGCTTCTCTTCATTAAGTGACACCTCAATGTCCAATATCGGTTTTCACGAGCTAGTGGAAACCAATCTGATTTCTTTGTACTCACTTCTTGGTTGTGAGATCAAGATTCCTAGTCTCCGATAAATTTCTGCGTAGTTCGTCCCGCCAGCCGGCTGTCGTGGCTTTTGATTGACTCCAAAAGGAGTAGTGCTGGATTTGTTTTATGTAGTTTGTAGTATACGGTGTGTTCACAGTCAATGAAGTTGATCCTTTCACCCGTTAGTCACCCAGTGGTGTCGGAAAAAAATACTTCATACTCCCTCTTAATGTGATATTGATTTGTCAATGATATATAGTATATACATTTCATTATTTTTACCATTGGAGTCGATTTAGGGCGAGGGTCCTCCAAATTAAATTATAATTTTGTTTTTGGACTTGGAGAGAGTAGTTCTAATATTCTACATATTTACTGGCTACCTTTTCTGTAAATCTATTATGTTAGGTAGGCTTGTAGCTTTTAGGACTAGGGTTTAGGGTTGAAGCTAGGTTTGAGAGTTGGGATTATGGTTAGATTTAGGAGTAGGTTGAATAATAGTGTCAGAAATATCAAAGTGCCGTGGCCTACAGTCACCATGCATACATTGCGCATGGTATGATCTCTCCAAAGATCATCTGTGTAGTGACTGGAGACATTATTAAAACACATAAGATACAATTAATGAGTGTAATATTAAGTTACCAATGTTTTTTAATGTATTTTCAGTGATTATGCGACTTTTTCACATGTAAATACTGATAGCAATCAGAACACCCATGGGTGTTCAAGGTCACTGTGGTTTTGGCTATGATATTCCAACCTTGCCCGATTTAGTTAACTCTGCTTCGTAGCCCAACACGAAATGTACCACTCCCACCAACTATGACCGAAAAAGCCATGCGCTTACCGCTCACACAAGGTCACATGGAAATACTTTCATAGACCGCCTTTTCCTTTCAACATCCAATATCGTTTTTTACGAGCTAATGTGAACCAATATGATTTCCTTGTGATCGACTCTTGGTTTCGAGGCAATAGTTCTAAGTCTTCAGTTAACCTTTACGTAGTTCATCCCGCCAGCCGAATGTCGTAGATTTGTTGGTGCTGGATTTCTTTTATGTAGTTTGTGGTATACGGTGTGTTAATACAGTGTTGTAACAGTGAATGGAGTTGATGCTTTTACCCATTATTCATCAGGTGTCGTTGGCAAAGGAAAATAGATATAATTAGTGTAGGTTATGCAGACTAAAATACAGAAAAAGAAATGAAATTTGTAGTTGGCATATATATATAAATGCATATAATAATAGTGTAAAGGACGTTGTGGTTTGATTAGTCAAGATAGTATGACAACAGCGAGTGTGAAGGAGTGAAACGGTGACTTTAGATATCTACCAACTAATAGTATGTGGGATTTTAAGGGGAAACGCCGTCCTTGTGTTGCTGCGTGACTGTCCAGCCTTCGCCTAAAGCTGTCCACAGACAGTGACGTAGCTACATCTGCTGTCAAGGAGTTTCAAGGACGACAAACACCAAGTGAATGAAATAGGAGCACACCCGAGTCTTTGCCTCCAGGTGAGCAATCCTCTTGGGTTTTCCACGAGGAAGTCCATACCTACTCAATCGCAGAGCACCTTTGTTCGCGTGATTCTGGTCATTTTTTATCCTGTAGTCAGTAAGCAAGTCCCTCCTAAGCCGAAGGTAGCTAAATGTGAAGAGACCTAGTTTCTTTAGCCGTTCATCGCACTGTTTGTGTCAGAGACTCATCACCTCTTTTGGACTCTTTCCAAACGTTTTGCGTCTCTTCTAAGCAGTGTGTCAATATAACTGAATAGTTTGGTATTTGAAGAGCTGGATTCTAGATTCCATACTCAGTCGTCTGTTGGCATATAAAGTAAATGACTATTCAAAACAACGAAACTTATATTCTGGGTTCCACAACCAACTAATATGATATCTTCGGGGGATTCTTAAATATTGGTTTTCCTACCCATGATCTTTACTCTTAGCCCAGATATAGTATCGTCATTTGTACTATTATCTCCATGATAATAATACTATTTTTGTTTAATTCTTATATTATAAACATAACAACTAATAGAGAATGCAAACATTTGATTACTTAGTTACCATGGTACCACATTTATGCTGATTTGGGCTGAAAGTAAACAGCATGTTGTTAGGTTAATCAAACACATTTAAATAAATGTGTCCAAATGTTAGTTTCTGATGTATTCGAATACTCAAGCAGCCTAGTCATGAATCAATGAGTCATACAGATTAGTGTATTTATTTTCTGATCAAGTCTATAGGCACCGGTGATAATCCAATCCTTAGTTTATTCCCATTTATATGACCATGACTCAATGTATCTTTGTTAGTATTGTCTGAGATTGGCTGTGCAATATATAAACCATTTATATTGTCAGTTTTGATATTTTTGTGAGACTATTTATCTAAATTTCGATTATAATAAAAGTGCAAAATTACTATGGCTGTAATCCTTGTTCATGTGCGATTTCTTGTCCAACATTCAGTTACTACTATTTGGGGAAACTACTACTTAATTCACTAAGAAAGTAGTGCAAAGCATCAAAG